AAAAAAATTAAAATGGGAAATAAAATAAAAAAAAAAAAAAAAAATAAAAAAAAAAAAAAAAAAAATGAAATATAAAAAAATAATAAAATAAATAAAAAAAAAATTAAAAAATTTAAAAATGTTAAAAAATGAATTAAAACTTAAAATTTTTTTTAAAAAATCTTTATTTGCCCAGGAGGGGGTGGCCTTTTTTTTTTTTTTTTCAGAGTAATTACCGGTTAGGTTTTTGGTCATTCTCCATTCTTGGTTGAGTTTTCTTTAGGCCGAGGATATTTTCCTCTGAAGTTGTAACTGCATTTTAAAATTCCGGACTCGCCGGGCTCTGTTTATCGGCACTTGTCTATACTCAGTGAGCAAAATAATGTAACGGCGTCTTACTATTCAGGTTCGACGTGCCTATCCTCTTCAAGAAGCTTGCGTATGATAACTGAATCCATTATATAAAAGTAGCTGAGAACCTCTCATTTTCCCTAACAAACCTCAGGTGGTAATGAGTTGAATTGTTTGTGCTGGAGTCGGGCAGGAAATAGTAGTAAATAACTTGGAATGAGTGATAACTTGGTACATTAAATTGGAAACTGCGCCTGGTCATGTTTAAGGGATAGAGAAGCTAGAACAAATCTATTTCTGTATTCTCTCTAAATAATCGCTTATTCCTTTATTAATAATATGCTCACTAGACTCTAATTATAGAATATGAATTTTTTATGCCAACAGCAAAGAATAAAATAAGAACTAGGAGGTCTGCTTTACCAAAATCCAAAAAAAAAACTGTTTTTGAAGCCCATTTAGGCCATCCCAATAAAATGTTTCGTTTCCCATCGCCACGTCTCTTGTGATGGCGGGTCGGTCGGTCGGGCAAAAAAAAAAAAAAGAATGAACACTTGAAGTTGTCTGGGTCCCAGAGAATGCCGGGCTGCTAAGTAAGAAAGCCTGGTTACAAAGTCAACTCGAAAACGTGGTCTTTTCGACTATCAAATGTCTAAACAACCTTTGTAGTATCGATGTAAATTAAAGACAAGGACATCACATCATGCATGCCAATTGTTGTTAAAACAAGATCGTGTGCTCGTAAATTACTTGCTTCTGTAACCAGTTAATCTGGAATTTTTTTTTTTTTTTACTTTTCGAAAAAAATGGGTCGGTCGGGCGATGGGAAATGAAACATTTTATTGGCATGGCCTTACAGGCACGCCATTAAAAAGCTACGTCTATCATTTGTGATGTCCATTTTACTCATATGCATACTGCACTTGTATGATTGAATGGTAAGGCGGTACACGGTTCTTTGATCTTGCTAATTTTTCGAGAGTTTTCCATTTATAAAAATCGATCACGAGTTAAATCCAAAACCGAGACAGCGGTGCTCCAGAGTGTACGAACGTTTATATGATTGGTCTTACAATTTTACTGGACAGTCTCATTGATTGGTGTAAGCGTAACGAATCGAGCGTCCCTACACAGCTCTTCTTTTGACCGTATGATGTATCTTGCCTCTTTTTGTTATCTTACTACTCTTGGTATGTGTTGCCAAAAAGTAGGTTGCAAATGCTACCTATATTAAACGATCTTACTTTTCTATAAAGCTTTCCTCAGTATTTTGAACTCGTGTTGTGAACACTCTCTGGTTAAATTCTGGTACTTTTTGATAGCCAGCATGCATGTTTAAACTAACTTGTATGGCAGACATTCCATCCCCTTCAATAAAGTTTATTGCTCTTAGTACGTATTCAAATAACTGCAGACACAATAGACAAATGCCCTTTTTTTAGCGCTGCAAACATGCCCTATTTGTTTTCTCAATTTTGGCAACAAAATGGCGCCAGGCATGTCTGTGATTTGACGCACTTTTGGCTCCCAGTAAAAGGAAGATTTGAGACTAGCGAAACTTGACAAGTTCAAGGACATGGAAGCATTGCGTAATTCTGTAGCCCGATTTATTTGGTCTGAGGGCAAAGTACTGGTTTATTTACGACGAACGGTAAGCAAGAGCCAGAAAGATCACATCAATGTGCGATCGAATACAATGTTAAAGAAAACTAAGACGAAAACAAAGTCAAGGGATGTACTATTCTGACCGGGTATTATGACTAGGCTTTTGTAAGTGGGTTTTGCCCCGCCTTGTTGGTAGAATTTCCAGCCGAATATCCTTCATCGGAACTGAGAAAAAAAAAATAATGAAGGTCACTGCTTGATAATGTTTGAAGTGTTCATGTGTCTAGACACTTATTGTATATGCAGGGTTGACTGATGCTATTTAATCAAAAAATTCGCACGATGTTAAAGTAATAATTGGGATACATCGGCTTCTTTCTATAATATTTTTATGGACGGGAACGTCTTGAATGGAAAAATACGAACATCTTTACATTGTACTTTTTACGTGCGCCTGCAGCTCTTTTTAAGTTCTCGTTCAACGTGTGTCCCTGTACCCCGACTAACTGTGTGGTAAGAGTGCCACGATGTAGCAGATTAGACGCTCGATTTTCACGTGATTTAGCCAACCTCTGGATCCAAGGACAGTATTCTTGCCTTCTCAGATTATTAAATAGAATTTGAAAGTGTTTATTGCTTGAAGATAAGAAAGTAAAACTGGTCGGAGTAGTAGGAGAAGAAAAAAGTAAAGGGAAGTCGAAGAAAGTGTCCTTAACAAACGACTACCGGTCCTAATCAAATCTTAGCCACGCTGAGGGAAGGCAATTTGCTCTCCGTGGTGTTCTTCATTCATCTCCCAGTGTCGTTTTAGGGGTTTTCGTCTAACTCTGCTTGACTCGTATCATCATGAATGATCCCATCCTTATCCCATGTTTATTAGATGCCATATTTTGCAAAAAAGTAGACAATAAAGATTATATACACGGCGGGAAAGGCCAAGCGAGAACTCATCTCGATGAAATAACTGAGATCTTGCTTGGACAAATAACCCTTGCAACTTGCAAACCAGCCCTGAATTTTTGACTTTGCTGATGCCGTGTAGCCAAGACAGGTGTCTTTTTCTTCTTGATTTCTTGGCTTCTCCCAGAGGTTTTTAGTCATTGGAGGATTAGCTTGCGGACTGGGCGTTTCTGTGAAAGCCTGTGTCAAGGGAAAAGCATATGTTATATTGTGCAGCCTTATTTCCATTGCGAAAATTGGCAATTAACTAAAACCACAGTTTTACCTCCGTGATCACAACGGGATTAATGTGTGATCCGTTTGAGATAGTATCTGTTTTGGGAACCTGAAAATATAAAAGAATCATTATCATAGAGAAGTAAGAGGAGAAATTACACGAAGCCTTCAACAACGTGCTGCCATGGTGAAAATACCCATAAATTAAGATGGCGTCTAGTACAGACTCTGGGATTACCGAAATATGAAAACCAAGCGCAGAAAGTCGATCCATCCTGCAAAATCTAAATTTGTTAGAATGCAAATCACAGACACATATCAGCCTTAGTGCCTTACCTCCTGAACAGCGACTGTGCTGCGTTTACAAAACAGTCCTCGTCCTCCAGTTGAACCTTTCACGTGAGTGTCCTCAGACTTTTGACTCTTTTTCTTGTAGTTATACACGATAACACTCTCTATTAATGCCAAAAATGTGAAGGCAAACGATACAATCAGGAACAGGTCAGCGGCTTTCACGTAGCTGACACGTGGCATGTTTGCATTGGTGTATTGAAGGAGGAAGACTTCTGTGAGAAGAGTTGTAATACCCAGGGCTCCGCGGTCACCAATCTCGCTTCGATCCATCCAAAATGGCAACCATGAGACAACCGTGCAAAGAATGCAGGGAAAGAATATACGGATGACGTAATGACCTATTCTTCTTCGAACGTAGAAGGAGACATCGAGATACTCAAACCAGCCTGATATTTGTCAAACAAACAAAAGAAAGGACAATTCAAACAAGGTTTATTTGAGTCGTTTCCTTAAAGTAAAAAATGTTTCTTACGACTATACCAGTCTCTTTTCCCCTTTTGCTGTCAATTTCTGTATTAAGCCGTTTCTCTCTACATTTTGTCTCCTTAGAAACAATTTTTGGTCGAGATAATGTGGATATGTTTCAGCTTAAAAAGGAAAATTTTGCGTAGTTTTAAAACAAACTTTTTAGAAGAGTTTCTCCTCTATTGAATTTTTTAATGCTTATTTTCTTCTCCGCATATGTATGGTAATCCGAGTGGAACACGGATTATGGATCTAAATCATGAGAGGGATTCCGGATTCCTTAATCTGTATTTCGCATTCCAAAGAACAGGATTCCGGATTGCAACAGCAAAAGTTTCCCAGATTTCGGAATCCGGATTCCCTTGCATGGGGGCGATACTTCCATCTCAGTAAGTACCTACCGCATTACAAAAAAAGCCCTAGCTCCATACTAGTCTTTATACGAATGATACGGGAGAGTTTACGCTGCTGGTTTTCCTAGCTTAAAATGTGCAATAAGAGCCCGCCATACCCAGCATGTACTTGACTTTGCCACTTGCGAGCGTTTGATTCATGACGTAGAATTCTGCCATGTCTGTACTGTATAGTGTTGCTTCTATCCACTTATATCTGATCTGAGTGAGGTCAAAGCCATCTGTGTGAAAAAAACTAAATTATTCACAAAGCCTATGATTCTGTCCTAGGTTTTGTTCTGATCAACTTTTGCAGAAATCAACCTAGAACGCCGGCTGACTCCAGTGTGTTAAAGTATAAGTTCGACACCAGTCTCCCTAACCTTCTTCCGTAATCCATGAATATGTGCAGGGGGTTAGCAGCGGTTAGGGGGCCCTTTCTGCGTTTTCCATTTGTCTTAGAAAAAGAAATCAGCAAAATGTGATAATAAAATTCATTCCCTCCTATCATTCTCCTGAAACTTCCTTATGGCGTTCGTAAACATTTTGTACGTGAGGTGCTTAGTGCTAATGAGTAAGAAAAAAATCTAACTTAACAACGATAGCCCTAAAAAAGATTAAAAACTAAATTACATTGCAAACACGTTAGGTAACGGCGGGCATTTATGTTAACTTAGGGCGCTTAGCATTTGCGACGATTCCGAAAGGTATTGTGGGTGGTTTTGAGTGCAATGTTCTTTGAAGAAATTTGAAAGAATGACACCAGGAGGCCACGGACATATGCTTGCGAGTGCTAAAGGAAAGCAACAAAAGTAGGTTCGACTGTCGTTTGGAGCAGTTTATTGATCATATCCCATATTACCTTTCGGGATTGTCGCGTGCACATTTTTTCCGAGAACCTTTCTCGAAATAGCTGTATGGCAGTACGTTTTTGTACGTCAGGCAGTGATAAGTTTTTGTGAAAATTTCGAAAATCTCCTCCCAGTTCTGAATTTTGTTACGTCTTCAGTAATAGCCTAAAAAAAGTTAGATGTTACTCACAACTGATGGCTCTAAAGAAAAATGTCTGCACATCCATCGGATAGTTTCGAAAATCCATAAATCCCATAGCATCGACAGTCACCCTTCAAAAAAAGAAATACACAACTTCATTTAATGAGTACTTCTTCGCGTTACGCCTATTGTGGAAAATTATCTGTCGTATGCCAGGTAGTGACGTCGTTATTTGAAATGGTCGCCATTTTGTAAACCTTTATCTCAACCAATCCGGGGATAGAGTACTCCCTTATTTATGGCCTAGAAGGGTATGTACCACTCAACAGGGTATAGTTTTGAGGGTGTTGAAGCGATCTTTAAAAGAGTGGGCGTATACAATTTTACTAGTTGGCGTCTTGAACAGGGTGTCTTTTGGGGGTAATGAATGGTCTACAAGAGTGCTACCACAGTAGAGGGCTTCTTATATGTTACCTAACAGAGTAGAAGACATTTCCATCACCAAACAATACCACTGTCTTTGTCTCATCATGGACAGTGATTTTCTTCGAATTTTCGATGAAGGTATCCGGGAACCACAGTTTCTTTAAGATGTCTCCTTGAAGAATCAGAGTCCAGTTTTTGTCTCCGTAGGCCAGCCTCGGGTCCTTCCAAAACTGACGCAAATAAAAGTCGCCTTTAAACTCCTGTTGAGAGGGTGGGAACGACTTTAGTGAATCTGAACCTGAGGCCCAGTTGCTCGAAGCCCGATTGGCGCTAACCCGAGGTTCAAAGGCATTTTCTCGGATAATTTTCTCTTTCCTTTTTAGAGCATCTTATACAGCAAGTTGTAGAAAAAAGAATTTGCTTTAAAAGATTCATTTCTGAATTTCAATTTCGTTCCAGACCTGGGTTCTTAACCTTTGTAGCTTTGAACAACCCTGCCCAGGGCTTTACAGCCCACAATATGAATGACTGAGTTACAAGTAATGAGGCAAATTTGCAAAACAGCTAACCATCAAGGATCGAAATGTTCTGTGGCCTCACATAAAAGGGAAATATTACAAACTATCCGCGGAGTCAACTCAAAACAGAGTAAATTATAAATATTTTGTAGTGGAAGTACACTTAGTTGCTTTATCAAGTTTGTGAGCGATCCACTCATCTTGAAGGTTAACACAAACAGAACTTAACAATTTAAAAACCCAAATGGTAGAAGGCAACCAGTGGGCTATATACAAGTATGACTTCCGATTCTAACTCAGAACGACAAAACGGCGTACCAGCTAGCTGTGATGCGAAAGTAGGATTCGAACCCTGGACCTCTAGATTGCGAGTGCGGACGAGTATGTTTAGAAACACTCGGTCACGTTGCCGGCCTAACTTTGTTTTCAATTTCTTCGCCAAAAAATGTGCCTTTCATGAGTTTTGCGTTCACGATTTCCAGTTCATTTGTTGACACAATAAAGCCCGGCTTGGTCTCATACGGTATCTGCAAATCTGTATTTAAAAAAATAAATTGTAGATCTAACTACCATGTTTTCTTCCACAATGTGGCTAATGGATTGGAAACCCATGGAGATGTAAAGCTGCACAGGTTCCACTCCATACATCGGCCTGAGCCGTTGGTCATAATTCACAAACATTTGGTCGAGTATGGCTGTCGCGTTCGGGGGTTCGTTCACAGGAGGCAGTTATAATGCTCAGGAGACATATTTGTTTGTCTCGGATCTCTGATTTTGTCATTTACCTGTAATTTCTTTGCTTACGTTAAGTTCCATAGCGATTGAGGGTGAGTGATTGGCAAAATTAAACAAAATGAACTGGGAATGCCGTGACACAGCCCCTTTAACGATGTAACACAAAATGCACGTATTCTTCTACCGCAGCTTTGGACAATTTCGTCTCTCGAATAATTATGCTCTTAGATTATTTGTTGTGTTACCAGTCGCAAAAATTATGACAGTTTCTAACGACAACGCCAACATACATAGTATTATATAATTCCCTGTGTTTTACTCATGCAGCTGTTAAGGTGATGTTGCACGGGACGATTCGCAACCACGATTTTTAGCGCAACACATTGTTGCAATGTTGGAACAATGTTGTAGCCATTGGAAACAATGCCGCAACAATGTTGCAACGCTGTGTTGCGCTAAAAATCGTTGTTGCGAATCTATTCGTAACATCACCTTTACCAAACTCCTCGGTCTAGCGAAAGACATTCTTCTTCCAAGCTAAACAAAATTTATCGATAAAAAATGTGGATTTTTCTAGTACGTTGGCATACATGTTATGATAGGGGCTCAGCTGTATTTCTGCTGTAGCTATGAAACAACTATAATGGGATTATTTTCAACCTTTTTCTTATGTTCATTAATTTCCAAAGGTTCTTGATATCGTGGTAGAAAATTGTTCAGTCCAAATCTTTTGATAACACGAAAGCTTTACGGACCGCCTATTAGTATTTGAACAACAATTCAGATAGTAGTTATCGTGTATAAAAACACTTAACCAAAAGATAAGCACCATATTTTTCCAACGCTAAATATTTACAAATTGTTTAACCGATTCAAACAAAAATGCAGCTTAAATATAAACTGCTCTTGGTTAAAGACAGTGTCGCCTAACATGGACGAATAAAGTAGATATCGAAATTGCAATTAAAAATGTTGCTTGTAGTTAGAACAGATAACCCATTTTCTTAGTCTTCTCTTTAAGTCTTAAAATTAATTTAATTTTTAAATTAAAGATTTATAATTTATATGGGAAGTCTTAATCTCGTGCTGCTTTCATAATTGCCTTATTTTTGTTCAGTTCTACACCGAAATTAATCAACGGAAAAGTCAGCAGCACGATTACAGTGTCGAGGCAATGAAAGTTTCTTTTTTATCGCTTAATACCAAACAACTGATAATTCAAAAAAGCAGTATTTTTAATGTAAAAACTATATTTAAACACAGAGATTTTTTATGTAACGTTATTACATTAAACTAGTCAATAGTCTAAGTAAAGACACACCTGCCGCGGGAAGCAGAATCAATTTACATTTTTCATATCATTTTTTATTGAACATGCTGTGAGAGACTACGAACTGTAACGACAAGTAAATATTTTCACCGAATCTTTATGCTGAAAAACTGAATTTTCGGTATTTTGAAAAATGGAATTTTGCTATTGTTTTTTGCTCTCTTGCACACAAATTGCTTTGCTACTGGACATAAATCCCCATTTTCATTTAAAACTTCTGGGAGAAGAGACATTTTATAAAGTACCCGCCGCGATTCAGTGATTTCTTGGGTCCGAATACGAACAACTGCAAATGTACTGTAAACGCTTCTAGCACCTCGGCCTTTCACAATATTTTCCCTCTTTATCTGCATTCTCACTGTCTTATCACAAGCCCGAAGTTGGACATCTAGCTTGATGAGTGTAATGGTGTAAAAAATTTGAGGCCGCAGAAACAGCTGCCTTAACTTGAGTCATTAATGGTTTAACATTCAACCAAGAATTTGTTGTACAGACTTAAACAAAGTACGTTGGCGCAGAACAAATCAGGTTCCTTTGTCAGGATCGAGATGTTTTCGAAAGTAACCTGATTGTTTTGTTTTGATATTAGAAGTACCAATTTTTACACCACTGAATAGCTTTGGCGGAAATATATTACTAAACAGGTGCTGAATATAAATTTGGTTTAGAACCTCTTCAAATATATGAACCGTATTGACTACGATGAAAACTTTCATGTAGTCCTTTTCTTAAACAATTCATATTGTCCTTTTTGAAAGGAAATTATGGAAAAGCGACACCTCTGTGATATAAAGAGGCCCCAATCAGGTAGTTACAGCAAGAACAAGATCGAAGGATACAGAACTTAGTTGTTATTCACCGTTCTTCTTTCACTTTTTCCTGGTAAGAAAATTCAATATTTTGAGATGGAGTCTTTTTTGATCAGTTCTAATAAAGAAAGGGGTGCATGGTGAAGAATCTCATATGGTTTAGATAGAATACTTTCACGGAAAATGCTTGAAAAGTTATTGCTTACCTTTTTGTCTCCTCGCTTGCCTTAACCACATTCAACGTGAGTAAGAATATAAGTTGGAGCACAAACCCTTTCATATTCGAAACCCAGTTGGCGGATGAGAGCACTTTTTTTCAAAAAATAAGACAAATTTTATGCCTGCCTTTGCGTGATGAGCCAGTGCGGTGCGGTTGCACAGTGAGAGAACAAATTGCTAAATAAATAAATAATTTATTCTGTTCCAGTGTCCTACTGGGTGCACGAGAATTTTGCTGAGTAGCAAAGAATTCTTTAGACCCACCTTTCGGGTTGACAAGGGAAAATGAGGAACAACTATTATACTAAAAAAAAACTTTGGAAAATGATATTCCAGTCCAGTGTTGTAGATTGCACCAAAACTATTCTTGCACTTGATGCATTTTAAAAAAAAAAATGCGTTGCAATTAACGCATGATGAAATTTTCTGGAAAACTGTTGTGAATGTGAACACCAGACAAAGTTGGACATTAATCAGCATGTTCGTTCTTTTATATTTGCTGACAAGAATTCTTTCGTTTTAATCCAGCTGGAAATTCGGCATAGTAAAGAGCTGTGATTTCCTTTAAAATTGCAATGTACGTTTGAGTGATTGTAGTCAGTTGACAACTTTGGACATTTCACATTTCAAAACCAAAGGTATGCTTAATAGATTTTAGTTATCTAGTTAAATGAGTCAAAATTGCAAGACGATTATAAGTTTTGTTAACATATAACCTTTATTGGAAACCCATGGAGATGTAAAGCTGCACAGGTTCCACTCCATACATCGGCCTGAGCCGTTGGTCATAATTCACAAACATTTGGTCGAGTATGGCTGTCGCGTTCGGGGGTTCGTTCACAGGAGGCAGTGTGCCATCCGAAATGTCTACTTCACCAGCGCTGTAAAGAGAAACAAAAGGTTGGTAGTCAATAGAATAGTTGTCACTTTAAACCTCAAATACTGAAAAAGAACAAAAATTGTCACTTTAGCAAAGTAATGCGCAATGTCATGTCGCAGATGAGGGGCCGTGGTACCCCCCGGCCCCTTGTGACGTCATTCAAAATAGCTGTCTAATCCAGGCCGCGATCTGGGATTTTTACTAAGACTTCGTACGTATCTGAATAGGGTGAAAACCAACATTTTTCACGAATGATTTTTAAAGCATGTTGTAATAAAACATTCTGTTAATTTTTGAAACAGTTTTTATGAAAAACTCGTGGAAAACTCGCATCTTTGCTTTAAAATGGCATGAATTTATGACGCTACTGTTTTATTTCTTCGCTAAAAGTTGTTCCTGAAAGTAAGAAGAAATTCTACTTTTTACGACGCAGCTTTCCGCAACCTGCGGCAAACTGATTTGTTGCAAGACGGAGACAGAGCATGGGTAGTAAAACGCGAACATCGCTTTGCAGCAACATTGCAAAACAGGGTCGCACGTTTTTGGTACCCGTTTTATTAAAGTAGCTGTGCCACGAAATTCAGCCAAATAAGGAAATTACAAAATGCCCGTTAAATTAAGAGAAACAAAAAAATAACCGCTTAAAACTTTAAAGGAAGGTTAAAATAACATAACAAGAGATGCCACGGATGGGCAAAACTGAAGAAGATTGAAACGGATTGAAATTAGGGTTTTTGAAAACTGTTCAGCCTAATAGTTTTTCAAAGTTGATCCCTGCTGCTTGCAACTTCAAAAATAATGCTCAGGAGACATATTTGTTTATCTCGGATCTCTGATTTTGTCATTTACCTGTAATTTCTTTGCTTACGTTAAGTTCCGTAGCGATTGAGGGTGAGTGATTGGCAAAACTAAACAAAATGAACTGGACTGTCGTGACACAGCCCCTTTAACGATGCAACACAAAATGCACGTATTCGTCTACCGCAGCTTTGGACAATTTTGTCTCTCGAATAATTATGCTCTTAGATTATTTGATGTGTTACCAGTGGCAAAAATTATGACAGTTTCTAACGACAACGCTAACATATATAGTATTATATAATTCCCTGTGTTTTACTCATGCAGCTGTTAAAGTGATGTTACACGGGACGATTCGCAACCACGATTTTTAGCGCAACACATTGTTGCAATGTTGGAACAATGTTGTAGCCATTCGAAACAATGCCGCAACAATGTTGCAACACTGTGTTGCGCTAAAAATCGTCGTTGCGAATCTGTTCGTATAACATCACCTTTACCAAACTCCTTGGTCTGGCGAGAGACATTCTTCTTCTATAAGCTAAACAAAATTTATCAATAAAAAATGTGGATTTTTCTAGTACGTTGGCATAGATGTTATGATAGGGGCTCAGAGGTATTTCTGTTGCAGCTATGAAACAACTCAGTAATAGGATTATTTTGAACCTTTTTCTTATGTTCATTAATTTCCAAAGGTTCTTGAGTACCGCGGTAGAAAATTGTTCAGTTCAAATCTTTGATAACACGAAAGCTTTACGGACCGCCTATTAGTATTTGAACAACAATTCAGACAGTAGTTATCGTGTATAAAAACACTTAACCAAAAGATAAGCACCATATTTTTCCAACGCTAAATATTTACAAATTGTTTAACCGATTCAAACGAAAATGCAGCTTAAATATAAACTGCTCTTGGTTAAAGACAGTGTCGCCTAACATGGACGAATAAAGTAGATATCGAAATTGCAATTAAAAATGTTGCTTGTAGTTATAACAGATAACCCATTTTCTTAGTCTTCTCGTAGTCTTAAAATAAATTTAATTTTTAAATTAAAGATTTATAATTTATATTGGAAGTCTTAATCTCGTGCTGCTTTCATAATTGCCTTATTTTTATTTAGTTCCACACCGAAATTAATCAACGGAAAAGCCAGCAGCACGATTACAATGTTGAGGCAAATGAAAGTTTCTTTTTATCGCTTAATACCAAACAATTGATAATTCAAAAAAGCAGTGTTTTTAATGTAAAAACTATATTTAAACACAGAGATTTTTTATGTTACGTTATTACATTAAACTGGTCAATAGTCTAAGTAAAGACACACCTGCCGCGGGAAGCAGACACAATTTACATTTTTCGTATCATTTTTTATTGAACATGCTGTGAGAGACTACGAACTGTAACAAGTAAATATTTTTTACCGAATCTTTATGCTGAAAAACTGAATTTTCAGTATTTTGAAATGGAATTTTGCTGTTGTTTTTTTCTCTCTTGCACACAAATCGCTTTGCTAAAGATCCCCATTTTAATTTAAAACTTCTGGGATAAGAGACATTTTATAACGTACCCGCTATTCAGTGATTGGGTCCAAACACAAACAATTGCAAATGTACTATAAACGCTTCTAACACCTTTCACAATACTTTTCCTCTTTATCTGCATTCTCACTATCTTATCAAAAGCCCGAAGTTGGACATCTAGCTTGATGAGTGTAATGGTGTAAAAAATTTGAGGTCGCAGAAACAGCTGCCTTTACTTTAGTCATAATGGTTTAACATTCAACCAAGAATTTGTTGTACAAACTTAAACAAAGTACGTTGGCGTAGAACAAATCAGGTTCGTTTGTCAGGATCGAGATGTTCTCGAAAGTAACCTGATTGTTTTGTTTTGATATTAGAAGTACCAATTTTTACACCACTGAATAGCTTTGGCGCAAATATATTACTAAACAGGTGCTGAATATAAATTTGGTTTAGAACCTCTTCAAATATATGAACCGTATTGACTACGATGAAAACTTTCATATAGTCCTTTTCTTAAACAATTAATATTGTCCTTTTTGGAAGGAAATTATGGTAAAGCGACAACTCTGTCATATAAAGAGGCCCCCATCAGGAAGTAACATCAAGAACAAAATCGAAGAATACTGAACTTAGTTGCTATTCACCGTTTTTCTTTCACTTTTTCCTGGTACAAAATTCAATATTTTGAGATGGAGTCTTTTTTAATCAGTTCTAATAAAGAAAGGGGTGCATGGTGAAGAATCTCATATGGTTTAGATAGAATAATTTCACGGAAAATGCTTGAAAAGTTATTGCTTACCTTTTTGTTTCCTCGCTTGCCTTAACCACATTCAACGTGAGTAACAATATAAGTTCGATCACAAACCCTTTCATATTCGAAACCCAGTTGGCGGATTAGAGCACTTTTTTTCAAAAAAATAAGACAAATTTTATGCCTGCCTTTGCATGATGAGCCAGTGCGGTGCGGTTGCACAGTGAGAGAACAAATTGCTAAACAGATAAATAATTTATTCTGTTCCAGTGTCCTACTGGGTGCACGAGAATTTTGCTGAGTAGGAAAGAATTCTTTAAACACTCCTTTCGGGTTGACAAGGAAAAATGAGGAACAATTATTATACTAAAAAAAAAAACTTTGGAAAATGATATTCCAGTCCAGTGTTGTAGATTGCACCAAAACTATTCTTGCACTTGATGCATTTAAAAACAAAAATGCGTTGCAATTAACGCATGATGAAATTTTCTGGAAAACTGTTGTGAATATGAACACCAGACAAAGTTGGGCATTTATCAGCATGTTCGTTCTTTTATATTTGCTGACAAGAATTCTTTCGTTTTAATCCAGCTGGAAATTCGGCATAGTAAAGAGCTGTGATTTCCTTTAAAATTGCAATGTAAGTTTGACTGATTGTAGTCAGTTGACAACTTTGGACATTTCACATTTCAAAACCAAAGGTATGCTTAATAGATTTTAGTTATCTAGTTAAATGAGTCAAAATTGCAAGACGATTATAAGTTTTGTTAACATATAACCTTAAATTTGCATAAATTATTTGCTCCAAGGTCACCAATTAGATGAAATTCATGAAAATAATAATTTAAAGGCTTTGCACCAATTTGGAATAGTGAATAAGAAAACATTGATCAAGCCTTTCCTCGTTTCCATCTTAGCATAGTCCTTGACCTAAACAAACTCTTTTATTTAGAGTTTGAAGTAGATTACATAACATGCAATGATGAGGGCCGAAACTCAAGCTGAATATGAATATGAATCATCTGAATACGAATATGAATCATCAGCAGGCGTTCTGCCAATGAATCCTAATGAACCTGTCTGTTTCGTTCTGCATCTCACATCTGCCTTATTTAATGCAAATGAGCGAGAAAAAATAGATTGTCCTCATTAGCGTTAAATTTGGCAAATGTGAAATGCCTAAAACCTAATATGGAAGATTTTGAAATGCCATTTCATAAGTTTGCTTGTGAGCAATAGATAATTTGACCTGTATTAACAATTTTATGTCTAAATCATCATCATCATCATCATCATCATCATCATCATGATGCGATATTTTATCCCTATAATTTGGTGTTATATACATTGTAGGCAGGGCTTTTTTTTTTCTATACTGTTTGCTTGTTTGCTTTCAAAGACTGCCAACTCGAAAATAGTAGCCGAGGGACCACGTCTTGTCTGTATCCACCTCACCAAGTATTACTCCCGCATTGGCAGTCACGGCCAAAATGCTTTTGTATGGTCAGCATTCGATCCCCGCAAGTAAGTAATATTTTCCGATCTCTATATAAGTCACACGAGAATTCCTTCCTTTCCACGTTCAAACAATTATTAACTATTCACTGCTGTTGATATTGGTTGGAAAAAAAATTTCCATCCGCTGAGAACTAAATTATTTTTTCCTTTATTTTATATAAGGCGTTCCCCTAACTTTGAATGCAAAAACAAGGGAACGAACGATCGAGACACCCTGTATACGCAGGAGTTTGTCGCGTACCCTCGCTACAAAAGGACAACAATTATTATTAGTTCGCTGAAGATTAAGACATTTCTTTCCATACGAAGTTCGACTGATTTTATAACATTTGTATCATTTCCCTAGCGTATCTGAAAAGGATCAAGACTGCTTCAACCACGATGATTGTTCACGCTATGTATTTTTCCCTGTTGGTGTCTAAAGGAGTTTCAGTGCTAACATGCGGTTTAAATACCATTGGGAACATGAGGTTTGTACTTACACACAGTTCAAGTTTATGCTTTTTTCAAAGTTTATTTTTCTAATTGTCTTTGGATATGCTATATGCTTATGAATGAAACGGAGTCATTTGTTACAACAAAGAAAATAAGAATGAGCATGAATCACATGGGCAGGCAAGGAAAGGCATAAAACAATAAGTTGATGTAAACTTCACTTGCTTTTTTTCAAAAAAAAACAATGGGCTTCTTTTCAATGAAAACTCTTCGTGTTCGTGTTTTCACTTTTTTTTCAGTGAGTGGTTATCGATAGAGGAACTTCCACCAGTGATTGAACCTCGAAATGCTTCGGAGATTTTAAACAAACTTTTGAAGAGTTACGACAAAAGGCTGAGACCCGGACATGCAGGTATCTTCCTATTTTATTCCCTTCATTAAATAGGCTGTCTTTGTCTCAAACTAACGAACAGTAATTGAGGGACAAAATGAAAAAAAAAAGGTTAAATTTTTAAGAATCTTGAATATTGAAAAAGAGATCAATTTAAAGATAGTTATCATTTTAAGCTGGCAGACGCCTCGTGTTTAAAACTTCATTTATCACTTGGAAATCAACCAGAACAAGCCCAGTCCATCAAGCTTTGGTTTCAGAATGTCTTTCAACGAAACACTGTGGCCAAACACTGTATACCTAATTTTCGTCCCGCGAGAATTAGCGACACGAAATGCCCGTATGTTCTAACAAACTTAACCGTGCGCTTTTAGTCGTAGACAATGCGAGGCTAAGTGCGAAGCCATTGATAAGAAAACGATTTTTATTTTCATGCAAATAAAACTCATTTTCACAACAAAGATTTAGCTCGTAGCCCCGCCGTTTTAAAGGTGAGAGTTTTTGGACCTCGGATATGGGCTGTTTTGCACTATACGCCACTGCACATCCCCCATCATGATACACCATATTTGTCCCCCAAAATTTTGCATAAGCATTGTTTTCAAATTCTCTTGGGACGGCAGTAATACCCAGGAGAAATGAAACACAAAGGTTATGCAAAATGGGGGGGGGGGGCAAATAAGGTGCATTATGGGAGATGTCCAAGTGGCGTGTATAAGATACGTAGTACAAGGCATGATGCACCCTTCACTTTTTATTGTCGAAAACGATAATGCTGTTAGTATCTCTTTTGCTGTTATATTCATTATATTCAGGCACTATTCTTCTCCTTTGAGATATGAAGGGGAGGAAGTTACGTACGGACGATTTTGTCACATATTTAATTCGCCATGCTGGTGCTACGCTACGCGCACGAGAGCTCCGCCAAATTTTTTGTTTTTTTTCAGAACGACCAGTTGATATTGGGATAAATATTGCAGTGCTGACAATTTCAGATATTGAGGAAGAAAACATGGTAAGCCAGGCGCCATTTGCATGGTTCATGAATGGTTGTGTACGTGCTGTTACGTAGTTGTGTCAATGGCTCATTTATAGTTTAATTTCTTAGTAAACGTTCCAACTCGCACCAGGAGGGTCTTCCGTGAGCTAAATTGTTCCCTTAAAGTAGCACTTTCCTATATTTTTAACTATGTCGTATCAAAGCTGTTTTTTTAAGTTTTTTTTTTACCACTCATTTTCAAAATTTCGCTTGAGAATTAAACTTAAAAGCATTAATGTTGTCATGTTGTGGTTCATGAGCTACCCAAGGCATTAACAAACATGGTAACACATGATAACGTTATACTTTACATTTAGAAATTCACAGTAGATATGTACATGAGGCAATTATGGTTCGATAGAAGACTGACATTTGGCAATGGAAGAACGGCCCTCGTTTTGCAGCACGATGTCCTGAACAAGTTATGGCTTCCAGATACATACTTTGAAAACAGCGTTAAGACCTCTGGGCAAAAAGAAACAGTTGCGTTGTTACTATACGGAAATGGTTCCCTTTTTTACACGCAGAGGTAAAATGATTCTTAATAAAGGCGCGATGACCTCTATTAGTCGATTGAAAGGTCTGTCTGTATGTGTCAACGTCGTTTCCAAGAATACAAAGTTAACTTGGCAAAACTTGAACGGTGCTGAAACTGAGAAAAAAATTCGACAAAGACAAGTATCGGACAAGGGTAGCGCAGTGGTGAGAGCACTCGCCTCCCACCGATGTGGCCCGGGTTCAAATCCCGGCGTCGACGCCATACGTGGGTTGAGTTTGTTGTTGGTTCTCTCCCTTGCTCCGAGAGCTTTTTCTCCGGGTTCTCCGGTTTTCCCCTCCCCTCAAAAACTAACACTTCCAAATTCCAATTCGATCTGGAACGCACGGACACGTTTAAACGAGTTCATATGAACTCTTAAGTGCTTCGTGGGTAAAAAAGTAATTTATTTTTTTTGTTATCAATAATAAGTCACGCCAGAAGCATGTAATCCCGTTATATACTTATGGTCACGCGTCCGTTTGCACGCCCTGTTGTATATTGTTGCGTTTCGTTGGGCGTTGTTGCGCAAAGTTTGAAACTACGCCAACATTGTTGGGAGTTGTTGCATCCGTTTGCACGACGAATTGGTAATGTGCAATTCTGTAATCTCGATGGTTATTTTTGGTATCCCACATTCCGGGCATAACAGTTTTCAATCCCGAGTCTCGCTCCGATTTTGCTTAAAAATCCCGAGTCCCGAGTTTTCAAATAAGGAAACTCCCGTTTACCGAAAAACCTATTAGGGACCGTTAACAAGGGATGTACACTATCAGTTTAAGGATCTGTTCATTTGTTTTTAAGACATGTAATCATTTGTTTAAGGGTGACGGTCATCGCCAGGACGTTGATGAATTTCCAGGCCTTCCCTATGGACAAGCAGACATTCAGTCTCACTGCCTCATCTTGTAAGTACTTACGCCAGCAAAAGTTAACCCCGTCCCCCTCCCACCACCAAACCCCTCACCACCTAAAGGAGTGGTTACGTTATGTGAGTACCGCCCTACAGAGTATTGTGTCGACCCGTTTTGTACTAAGAATGGGTATTAATTAAATGATGAATTCATAAATGGTATGAATTTTATACATTGGAACGGTCACACCGCAAAATGAAGAAATAGGGCCGGGTATTAATCTATGAATTTGGAATGGAAAAGGATCAAGTTTTAAGTCAGGTTCCGTTGGAGTTAAGTCTGCAGGGATGGAAAAAGTTGAACAAGGTAGATTGAATAAAATATTTGTTGGTCTAGAGACGATAAACGGCCTTCAGAAGATTCCCTTGCACCTTGCGCAATGTTAAGTGTCGATGACTATATTTTTCTTTGCAGATGGTAGAGGAAACAGCCAACTGCGATACAGAAAAATACAGGTGAACATGTTGAACAAAGCTCAAGAGATGGCCGATTTTGTGATCATGAATCAAAGTGCAACAATCACTTCACAAAAGTACATATCAGGTAACGTATAAATTGTTCCTTACTTTGGTAAACGTGTGTCAGAAGTATTCCTTAGCATTATAAAACACGCTATGCATTAAGCACCACAAGATGGACTGGTTATACAATTATTGTCCAGATCCCTCGGGACTGGCGATAAGTGAAATAAAAGTCGACGCAAATCCCACTTTTTACATCCGCTCTGGTTGGATAAAATACTCGTTTGGGTGTGAAATATTCAGTAATTCTTGAAAATAATTCAAACCTGAATTTTCTCCCCACATAGGGTAATCCAGATTACGGAAAATGGGAAAATTTTGCTTGTGGAATCCCAGAGCCTAGGGCTTTGGAATCCGGAATCCCGGATCCATATTTCACTGACTAGGAATCCTGATCCAGAATCCAAGAATGTCTTGGATACATACATAGTTACAGACTTTATTGAGACTCCCTTCAACAGGGCTTTTCAGTCACAAGGATTAGAGCGGGAGACCTTTATGGGTATTTAAAACGGTGAGCTTTTTGTATAAATTTTGCGAGGATCCGATCGCCTTCACAGTATTGATTACTTTTGTTTTGCTGTTCATGAATCATTTGAGCGAATTTCGTATGACCTTGAAAATTGGTTTCGGCAAGTGTTCGTTATTCGTTTTATCAGTAAATGGATGAAAAGATCAAAACATGGCCTCTTCGTTTTCCCGCCAAAGAAAACCCTATTTAAATAAGGAGAGGGCATTGTTAGATTGGCCATTTGTGTTGCAGTATGACGTCAAAGCGAAGTATCTATTGATTTCTAGAAAGTTCTCTGACATGAAGTTTTTTCAGCCGAGTGTTCGCTTAACCAACCAAAAGCCACGCGCGTTTATATCCGTTCGATTAACCAATCAAATCGCTCTATTTCCGTTCGTTTGTAGTTTCTGTTTTGTTCACGCGTTTTCATTTCAAGGTAATACGAAAATCGCTCTAGTAGCTAGATATCAAACCCGTTTCCAAGGTCTCCACGGAAAATGAATTTGGCAAGTTGCCGTTTTGAATTTGAGTCTTGGAACTTGAATACGTTGACTTTAATAATAATATTGGTTAGTTTAAAATCGAGTATAGTTACTAAAACATCATTCAATCAGGCACCATTAGAAATGACCATCTCTCCATTCCTATAAGTATCTTAAAACTCAGTTTGAGTTCAAGGTTGGAAAATTTTTTTTCTCCTAAATTTAAGTTATTTTCCTCTTTATCTTTCGCGTGTCATAACCCTACTCGAATGTAATCTAATTATTGTAACTGCTCAGCTCGTTTAGCTTTTTCTACTCTGAGTAGATTTTTGCCTGATCTTCTTTAATTTATTCTGTTTTTTTGTAAAGGGGTTTTAAGTTGGCATATAAGTTGCTTGGTTGGTTGTTGTTGTCGTTGTTGTTCTTTAAATTGATTTATTAATGTAACAAATGTAATCATTCCAGAAAGACGATCAAGGCCAAAACCTGATCTATCTATCTTTGCTACAGGTTGTTTCGACATGGTGAAAATCTCCTTCATTGCGAAGAGAAGGGTTGGTTATTACTTCATAAAAGTCTATTTTCCGGGAACTCTCTGCACTGTGGTTTCATGGCTGGCCTTCTGGATGGACCCAGAAAACATCGGGGACAGGGGAACTGTCGGTATTACCTCTCTGCTAACTCAGATGTTCTTGGTGCAAAGCGTTAATGAGCATATGCCGCATGTCAATTACGTGAAGGCCATTGACCTGTTTTTAATTGTCTCGTTTGTGTTCTCCTTTATAACGCTTCTAGAAAGTATCACCGTTTATAAGGCCGCCAAAGGAGGAAAGATGGAGATGACTGCTTTGCTTCAAAATGAAAGGGTATGGGCGTACTTTGCACTTTCAAATGAAATCCAAAATTGTGTGACATTCATGTCGATAAGGGTTCGATTTCTGTTTCGAGCTTCGCTTCGAAACAGAAATCGGGCCGAAATCACCATGTCTGGAGCCCACGGCCACATCCGCTAACATGACGCGATGGACGTACGGATGATTTTCTTAGAACCGAAATTTCTTGGATGCATATATAGATAACCAAATTTTCTCACCCATAGTGCTCCGCTTCGCGCGCGCAAGACCTCCGCTATTAGCACACTCATAAGTAGTTATTACAAAGCCTGGGAATCCAGGTTTTCTTAGGCGTCTTTTAGTAAAAGAAAAGTGATTAAGTCTGATTTGTTCCCCTGGAAAACAAGTAACTCTGTTGTTTTACTGCTAAACAGGAGGACAAAACTGAGGTAAATCAAAACAGTGAGGCGAGTGTTACTGTCGTTGACAGGAAGAACAGCATCTCGATGATTCTTGACCCTACACGGGCTAAAGGCACTTCAGAGATGAAAGAAAAGGAAAAGAAGAATGCGGACGCCTTTATCGACAGAATATCAAGAGTACTTTTCCCGACTGCCTACGTAGCTTTTTTAGTTTGTTATTTCACGACATATATGGCTTAAATAAGGGCAACATGGGGTTGTTTTTTTGCGCGTTAATGGTAGTTAGTGCTTACGCATGCTAAGTGGGTCCATAGATGATGAGCGTAAGTTAGTTATTGTTAGTGTCAATTTGTAAACTATTAGTTACTGTTAGTCAAATTGTAGCACCGTTTAGTGTATTGTTTGTAATCTGCTGTTTGCTACTAATAAAAGATATAAAAAAAAGCACGCGCGAATCTAGAAGCCCGTTTCTAAAATACCTCCTTAATTAGCTTGGCGGTGACGACATCAAATTTAGCCCTCGCGCAAGACTTATACAATGGTTGTCGGTGAAAACAAATCGGAAGAAGTGGCGAAGTTTTTGAATTTTTGTTTCTTACACAATTCTTCCAGAAAATGATGGATGCCCGGATTCAAACAATGTTGTCTCAGTAGCAGCTTAAGCGTCTTGTTGAAGTGCTGGGTTTTCAAGGTAACAGTTGTACGGAGTTGTTTGCTCCCATTGAAATACGGACGATCAATAAAGGTTAGAGGTACTGAATAAGCGTTTGAAGTGAAAAAAAAAATATATGCTGGATTAAACCTGCTATTAAGTATATTTTGAATAAACTTTCAATAGATTTGAACACTCGTAATTGCTTTTCTTGATGCTGAAATTAAGAATCACGTTTACGGCCAGCAAACGGACTGCGATCGACTTCTCGCTATTGCTTCGCAAATTCGAATGAGAAACCATTGATATTTGTATACATAATTTATTTGTGTGTACCTTAAAAAAATGTATTTCAGTAATAATTAGTACTATACATTTTGTCGAAAAAAAAAATGTATGAAATGCTTTTTCATTCAGAAAACCTCCCCTTCTCTAGGTACTTTTTCTTGTGAACACGCAAATGTGGTCCGAGTTTCGTGTGAGTTCCAGAAATATGTAACCACTTTATGGCAACGCTGCCTCGCTAAACATACTTCAGCTGCTGTCTCCCCCACGGAGGCCTCTTTGATTCAGTTTTACTTTTTTATTGGAGTACCCAGCGGAGGCTAATCTGCAGAGGAGAGAGGTTCAGTTCTGCCTATGTCGGGATACGAAGCTCAACACACATACCCTGACACTTGAACTAATAGCCTAGTTTTCAATATACAAAAATCACATTAAGATTCATGGATGAATAATTCATTTCTTTCGTTTTATTCTCCTCGGTCTCGAAGCCAAGTATGAATTTTGAATTCGTAACTGCCGTAAATGTTCTGTTGTTAAATGCAGGAGGCGTGTATTAAATTAAACTAGCTAATGGTCTTGTTTTTATAAATTTGTCTGGACTTTCCGCAGCTCAGTAGGTAGACCACCCGCTAAGGATACAATAATGCATATATATGACTGATAACACATTAGAGTTGTTTAAATATAAAACTGGTGGCATCATTTAACACGTTTTTACGACTTACAAATTAAATAGCTTAGAAAATAGACGATATAAATTGGCCGCGTGAAAATGAGACATTTCTCGAAGTGGCCAAGTAATGTTCTATCTATTATATGAAACTACCAAACCTTTTCACTTTTTTTGCTGCGCAAGGCGCGATTTATTATTATGTAACTATGGCAATGATGTTCTTTTCACGTGTGACGATACTATAAACGCGTCATTTTCAGTCTTCACGTATGAAGATACCTTGGGGCGCGATCCATTCAACCAAAATTCCAACCGGTCCGACCGCGAAAAGTGATCCACCTCAAAAGGTGGACCCGTTTATTCGAAACTTTTCCGGTTGGACCGAACCGATCCACTGAGTTTTGGACCAAAATTTCCGGAAATTTTGGTTAAATGGATCGCCCCCCACGCTTTCGCGCGAAAGCTTACCTGGGATTTCATTGGTGTCATGTAACAACTAAATGTTTTCTATCTAAAAGACCTGTAGTGCGACATGTAAGTTAGGATTGTAAATATGACAAGTTCCTTAGTCTATTTGATGGCGTTTCCTTAGTAACAGAGAGATACATGTAACCTTTCTATATCAACCCATTTTACATTTCGAAAAGGCAATCACGACCAAAGTGCTTTTGCTTTTCACAGCCTCTCAAGCAAGTAAGTAGTATATTCCGATACGTATATTCTTTGTTTTCCATTTTCGTTAGTGATATCAGCTGGTCACTCTTAAATATAAGCCATGAACAGCGCTCTTAATTTGCTGAAACCGCAAACTACTTCTTGCAGAGATGTTTTAAATTAAACATGATTTCCCCCTCTTCTTTCTATTCACGCAATTACAACTATTTCATGATAATCCTAAAATTCTGGGACAGTGGACTGATGTTCAGAATTAAAACGGATAATTTTCGGGCACATTTTTCTCTCTTAAAGTTTTTCGTGTTTTTCTCACCGTTTTAGCTGACTGTTCATACAATTCTTCATCCAAATGAAGATTCACCGACACCGACTGCGGGGGAAACATTTGTCATTGTTATTTTGTAAAAGAGTAGATTATTTAGACCACTACGAGGGCATCTCACCTGGAATCTGCAGAAGAACTAAAAGTAATTTTAGCTTTACATGACGCACCAAGGGCCAAATCACACGAAGACGAAAGAAAAATATATTTTTCGTTCTATCATTTTAAACTAAGGTGCATTTCAAAGTAGGTACCATGAGGGCTCATTAAGTTTCACTGAATGAAACGTCGCATATAGTATTGTAGGGAGAGAGTGTTAACATATGATTTACGTGTTGTGAATTAAATTTAATGAAATTATTTCCCCCATATCCATCTTAGGTGGCAGGTGGTTTTACTAAACAAAAACGCGCATTTAAGCCGGCTCTGCTTGGTCCTGACAATAAAGAATAAAGTCATTATTCGAGTCTGTTTTAACCAAATACCTGATTAATTGATAGGTGCTGGATATAGGCGTTGAAATGACGGCTATTTACTCAGATTAAAACNAGACGAAAGAAAAATATATTTTTCGTTCTATCATTTTAAACTAAGGTGCATTTCAAAGTAGGTACCATGAGGGCTCATTAAGTTTCACTGAATGAAACGTCGCATATAGTATTGTAGGGAGAAAGTGTTAACATATGATTTACGTGTTGTAAATTAAATTTAATTAAATTATTTCCCCCATATCCATCTTAGGTGGCAGGTGGTTTTACTAAATAAAAACGCGCTTTAAAGCCGGCTCTGCTTGGTCCTGACAATAAAGAATAAAGTCATTATTCGAGTCTGTTTTAACCAAATACCTGATTAATTGATAGGTGCTGGATATAGGCGTTGAAATGACGGCTATTTACTCAGATTAAAACTCGGGTGTGGAGAAAAAAAAAACATAGTTTAAGTAATGATTAACAGAACTGAGTAGAGTACAATCCTCAGGGAGTAATCAGGCGAATATAAGCTGTTCACAAGCACGACAGACCACATTGGCTGACAGCAAAGATATCATAGAAAGGTGAAATTAAAGGTTTGAACAGGATAACACCCGTAAATTAACAGTTAACTTTGTTAAATTCAGCGCGCAACGAATTTTTTGGGTATTGTACATATGCGTGTCTTTTTCACACCTATTAGTTCTAACATTTTTGTTCAGTTAACTATATCTAATCACGAAGTTTTTCTCAACACGAAGCTCAACTAATTTGATATTATTCACATTATGTCTATTCATATTATGTCGCAGGCGGCTTTTGTAAGCCCATTAGGTTTGAAACGTACCTAAAAATGTTCAAGAATACAACCGCGATGGTTCTTCAAGTTGTGTGTGCTGCTCTGATGGTGTCTAAAGAAATTTCAGTGTTGGCATGCAGTTTGAACACAAGTGGGAACATAAGGTAAATTTGAATCCGGTTCAAGCTTATTCTTTGGTCAATAAATCAACTTTGGGTGTTCTCATCTGAATGACCTTTCTTTTTAGTGAGAGGTTAACAATAGAGGGAATACCGCCAGTATTTGAACCTCAAAATGCTTCGGCCATTTTAAAGAAACTTTTGAGCAATTACGACAAAAGGCTGAGACCCGGACATGCAGGTAATTTTTCTTGTTTTCCTGTTTTTGTTGCCTTTGTTAAAATGAGACCATAGTTCATCCTCACTTGTCGCGAAAATTATTTCTTTTAACCGCGAAAACTAGTACCATAAGGTACCGGACAGATTTAGCGAAGAGTGTTTTGTTTTTGCCTTTTGCCAAAATCACCTTTTTTCTCTCAGAACGACCTTTTTTTTTTTCAGAACGACCAGTTGATATTGCGATAGACATTGGAGTGCTGTCTATTTCAAATATTGAGGAAGAAAACATGGTAAGCCAGTCTTCAATTTAGTAGCCTGAGTCGTAGACACCCTATACCGCCGGTATAGACTACATCAGTGGTTTGATGCGTGAGCCTGATGTAACGTAGGCTACACGGTTTTTTGCAGTTTATTTCTTTATACAATTTAAGTACTCTTGTATTCTTCACTTGGTTCACCTGCACGGAATCCAAGATAGTCTTGGATTCTACACCTGGAATCCACTCAGTGGAATTTAGATTCTAGATTCCAATCGTTAGTGGGATTCTAGATCCCTTGAGCTGTATTCCGGATTCCAGAGCCCGGGATTCCGTATTCCACAAGGCAATATTTCCGGATTTCGGTTTCCACAAGCAAAAATTTCCTGGATTTCGAAATCCAGATTTTCTAACATGGTTAGGTTACAGTGCAGCACTTGATAACTAACACAGCATTCTAACTCGTACTTAGAAATTCACAGTGGATATGTTCTTGAGGCAATTGTGGTTCGACAGCAGACTGGCGTTTGGCAATGGAAGCAACGCCCTTGTGTTGAAGCAAGAGGTCCTTGATAAGTTATGGCTGCCTGATACGTACTTCGAAAATAGTGTAAAGACCACTGTGCAAAAAGAAACAATGACGGTGGTACTAATTGGAGATGGTTTACTTGTTTATTCTAAGAGGTAATTTGAATCTTTAAGGGAAAAAAAAATAACGCTGACACTTTTGGATATGTGTGGTACTTGAGTAGTCATTTGAAAAGTCGCTGCCAACAAAAAGTCGTTTCGGCGACAACTTTGCCAAAGAACTGGGGCTGACTCAAACTATTCGACACAAAAAAAGGACCCCATAATAATTTTAAAGCAATTTAGAGTAATTAATTTGTCGAAAGAAGGAGAATTCTTATATTAGAGCTCCGAGCTCCAGGTTAGAATCGAACTCACGACCCTCCGAGTTCTAGTTCGGACAATCTAATCACTGAGCTACTGGAAGCTCTATCGAGAGAAATTTAATTATGATAAGATAAAGATTTGAAGAATAACTGTCCACCGAACACATGAGTGTACAAACAAAGGATGTACAATCAGTTTAATAATCTGTTTCTTTGTTTTTAAACTTGTAATTATTCGTTTAAGGGTAAAGGTCATCGCCAGGACGTTGATGAATTTCCACGCCTTTCCTATGGACAAGCAAACATTCAGATTGGATGTTGCATCATGTAAGTATTCGTAGCTTATTAGGTGGCATGTTAAGGCATGGTTCACATTATAATTTGCATAATTTGGCAAAGTAGCATTTGAGATGAAGCGGATTGTTTTGATCAGTTGTCATGAAACTTGGCAAACAGTTTTAGCTCGGTGGCCTTGACTGAATATGTGACACATTCATTGTTGAAATGTTAGTCACGTGACCTGCAAATGATCGCTAACTTTCAAAGTGTTCAAATTAAAATGGGGGAAAGGAAATGAAAGACTAGCAAATATTCTTAGGCACCAGTGTTTTTCCCATGGCCTGGATATTATGAAATAGCCCAACATGTATGCCTAAGTGGAGCAAGGATTACGAAATAAAGAAAAACAGGCCACTTGACTTTAAAAGACTTTAATAACTCTTATTTACAATCCAAACAGTTTCGCTGACAATTTGATGACAAGTATTTTTAGGCTGAAGTTTAAAAACCTTGCTCCCTTTTAGAAAACAGGTTTTATGACGTTATGATCCAAGGAATGTCACGTGATGCTAGGGAAGAATTTTCCAAAACTATTTTAGTGAGATAATGTCGCTCATGGGTACGGGTTGAGGTCGGGTTTTTCTCGTTCTGAATTCCGCTTTGTCAGAACGGACCGCCTTAGTAATTTTGTTACCCACAGTTATAATAGGATTTAATTGTTTTTGCCTTCTGTGCCATGTGTAATTATGTGTTGTGCGTATTCTTGACCTCCCTTGTAATTTAGTGTTATACACTACCAAAAGGGTTTAATAAACTGATTATTATTATTATTATTATTATTATTATTATTATTATCATTATCATATCTTTATGCAACCCTTTACTTGGACCCTTCTGCGTCATTAAAAAAGGTTATTTGCATTCTCTGTGGGGGGTCTTTTTAGCCTTTAAACCCATGCCTTAACTTACCTCATCGACTACCTATTTTTTTTTTTGCAGACGGATTTGAAACCAGCCAACTGCGCTACAGACGTATACATGTGCATATGTTGAACAAAGCCTATGAGATGTCAGATTTTGTGATCATCAATCAAAGTACAACAATCGATACCACAAAATACTTCCTAGGTATATATGAAACAGTCTCATGTCATCATAGTTTGGTAAACAAGTGTCAGAAAAATGTAGCAATGAGAAATCAGCAGTAAATCAAACATGGCGAGAAGGGGCGCTTTAAACTCTCTTTGGAGTCAGCAAGTTTCCATATTGAATTCGAGTCTTGGGATTTCTATACTTTGGTGCAGATTAATAGTAATGGTTTAGTTCTCCTCTTAAAAAATAGAGGCAACATGCACCATAAATTAATCAATATGATACAATTACAAATGACCACCTCACCCGATCAATTATCTTAAGATCGTAGTTGAATTTTTAAAATTGATTAATATATGATTTATCACCTTTGAAACGAGACGATTTTGCCGTGAATGTCCTGATCCCATCTATCTTTGTTACAGGTTGTTTTGAGATATTGAAAATCGCCTTTACTGCTAAGAGAAGAAGTGGTTATTATTTCATAAAGGTCTATTTTCCGGCTATTCTTTGCACAGTGGTTTCGTGGGTGGCTTTCTGGATCGACCCACGAAACATTGGGGACAGGGGAACTGTCGGTATTACCTCGCTGCTCACTCAGATGTTCTTGGTGCAAAGCGTTAATGAGAATATGCCACGTGTCAGCTATGTAAAGGCTGCTGATCTGTTTTTAATTGTTTCCTTCGCGTTCTCCTTTACTACGCTTCTTGAGAGCGTTATCGTTTATAAGGCCGCCTCAAGAGAAAAGCGGAAGATGAAATCTTCACCTATTGCCACACAGGAACACGAAACCGATCAACAGACATGTGTGCCGAATCAAAACGAAGAGACGGCTGTTAATGTCCTCGAGAGGAAGAACAGAATCTCGATGATTCTCCACCTGACAGAAGCTAAAGGTATTTCAGAGGTCCAAGAAACGAACAAGCTCATGGAAACATGGATCGACGGAATATCCAGAGTCCTTTTCCCATCTGCCTATGCAGCTTTTTTAGTTGGTTATTTCACTACGTATATGGCTTAAATTAGACTTTTTTCAGCACTTCCGCCATGCAGTGATTTTTTCTACCCTTCTTACAGGGTTTACATTTTGCTTACTGCTATTTCTTAGCCAAAGTGGTGGGAGGGGGAGGTGGGGTGCAATAGTGTTCTTAAATCCAGTGGCCTAAAATTTTTTTCCAAAACTAGTTCAGTGTCCTTTTGCGCCAATTTTCTTGTTGTTGTTGTTGTTATTTTCGCACCAACCGCAAGACGGCGCTCTCAGAAGTTGCAGTTAATGTCCCTGACTCCACTGAGCATGCGCATGCACTCTTTCTTGATCGTTTAAAGAGTGGAGTCACGAACATTGATGTGCAACACACAAAGCAGCACAGTTTCTCGTTCAGTAACACAGCAGGCCATAAAGTAAATTAAAAGCAGATAGTTATTTGACAAAATACCTTGATTTTAACGCGTTCGAAAGCAGACAAGGTATACAGACTAAAATATTCCATAGTTGATAAAACCGCAATACATGTACAGTTCTTTTTGATATGTACACCCAAGAAGACTTCGTGAATAAATAGTTCATTTCATTTCCTGATCTGGAGAACATTTAAAAGTGAGACTAGACAATATACAATGGTGCAATGCGCTGCAAGTTAGCGTTCATGAGAAACTAACTACCGTACCCTTAATAGTGGGACAAAATAAGAGAGGGGAAACAGGTACCTCCTCTTAAACAAAATCAATTTTGGGGGGGGGATTTCTTTACGAATCGTGAATGCAGGGCACTAGTTTGAGTCCATAAGTAATATGAATTATTCTTGGTCCCAGAAAAGTCAGGACTCAAACAATTTCAAAAGTTGCGAGCGACATGTTTTCTAAAGATGTAAGACAAAGAAACATAAGAAAATGAACAAACTACAGACTTTCGACGCTTGACACTAAAGCCACCATCTAAGATAACCGCGCCATTCACTGTAGTTGAAGCCAAACTGCGGGGAACTGCTTTGAATTTCAAAATATAATTTGCACTGATTAAAAAGAGTGCTAACTTGTTTTGTTTTTGGCCGTACACGCACGTAAGCATTTCACACTGTTAAACACACTTTACTTCAAAGTCAAAATGTTAAAAATTTACACACCGTAAAAACTGATGAACTCAACGTTCTGACCGATTTGCGCATACCCACAAAATAATTCCAAATCCACCATGAAATGTGATCCAGGTTTAATACCGGGTGAACGACAATTTTCTTTCCCGAGCTTGGAACAAGTACAAATTCCGAAACCCCGCAGGTAGTGAAAGAACAACCTTCCCGAGACCCCATAGCGCAGTCTAACCATTGTGTCTGGTACAGCAATGTCAAAGGATTGGTTATTGAACGATCCTGCAGTCATTTTCGAACCAGACAGAAAACAAAAGAGAGCTTTAAATTCAAAGACGAGGACGACAACGAGTACAAGATTTTCTCAGTACTAAGTAGTGCTCTTGCGTGAACCAGCGTCATTTTGGCGGGATAAAGTGGTAGCCGTCGTCATTCTACTCCGCGTTTTAGCGAGAATGTCGTAGTGGCGGGAACAAGTTATCAAATTTTAGAAGTTTAATCGTTTTGCGACCGGGAAAGGGCTAAACCTTCTCCAATAAAAATAACTGCACTAATTTTTCAGGTGAAAAATAGTACAATGAAGCTTTCCGGGTTAAAAATTTTTCGAGAATACGCGGAAAAACTTTAAGTTAAATCTCGTACTCGTAGTCGCCCTCGTCTCAGAATCTAAAGCTCTCTATTGTAGCCTAAGAAAACAACCAACATTTCGCGATGCACCACTGGATTCCCCGCTTCTCCCCTCTAACTGACTTCTGGGGAACGAGCGCAAAAATCATCATACTGATGACGAGTCACTACCCAGATCTGGGTAAAGTTTCTGATTGGTTATAGCAAATTTGCCCCGCGCCGGGATCTGGGTAGTGACGCGTCATCAGTATGAAATTTCTGCGCTCGTTCCACAAATTTTATTTTGCGGAAAAAACCAGTGGTGGAGTCGCAACAAGTCGGCCGTTTTCTCAGGTTAAAAATAATGCGGGATCATGTTACTGTCAGTGTTAAAAAATGTAGACCGAACAGATATATTCACGGCGGACTGCGGTTATTTTCGGGGCAAACTTGAGGATCGTTTCCAAGGGTTTTACAGAGTTCTGTGGAAACCTGGAATGCGACACAAAGGCAGCTCACGCGTGTATGGATGACTTTTGCTGTCGAGGATACCAGGATATCTCGCCTAGCGTCCGCTATCCCGACATTCTACGACCATTTTCCGAAACCGTGCAGCTGAGTTTGGCCGACCCGTTTTAGCCGAACTGGGTGGAGATGGTGTCATTCTAATTTGATTGGCAGACGAAGGCGGCGAAGGAGAGAATTGTCCCCGGGAAAGAACGTTCGCATCAGCGTGTTTACTTGTGAGCGTGCGATTAGCTACCACAGTATGAACATGACGGTCATGCGGAGTCAGAGGAGGTCTGGGAACGACATGAGATTCGGACCCGGCGGATACTCGTCTAGTCAAAGAAGGCTTCCGTTCCAAAGAAAACTGTCTTCTGGATTCCGAGAGTTTTCGCTTGTGTTGCCTGTGATACGAACACAGAGACAACGGGTAAGAATTTGCTAAGTAGGCGGGAAAGGGGAAGGGATGAATGGTAGGATCTTTTTTAAGCCGCAACAGTGGTAAGATGCTTGAGAAATGATTGTAAAAGAACAACAACTTGACAAAAACCCAAAAGATCAGAGGTTTTCCTCATTCCCCATATACTTACGTTATTACACCTGCTTCGTTATGCAAAAGTTCTTTCTCGAGCTTCGTTCCCAAATCACGTAAATCTGCGAAAAGAAAAAAATCGAACCAGCGACACAATAGGGAGCTTAAGCAACAGCGTTTTTGAGCGACGAACGTCAACCGGAAGTGGACTTTTTGCATCATTGGGGAGTGCTTTGGTTGAAACTCTTGGGTAAATCGTCTTTAAAAGAGAAAAGAAACTCAGCAATACAAATTTGTTAGCGTCCAGGCATATAAAGGGAGAAGGCCTCACTTCCGGTTGACGTGCCTCGCTCAAAAACGTCTTTGCTTAAGGTCCCTAATTACATAACCCGCACTCGACCATGATATGGCGGGTACGGTTTGTTAACGCTTTTCTTTCGGGATAACAAGAATAATATAAAATTTGAATGCTGGTGATAAAAGCAAAGCCAACACATGAAATCAGAATGTTGTTTTTAAATGAAAATGTTTTCGCGCGCGAATGTCAGGCAACTATTAACGTCTTAAAGTATAAGGCTTCACCTCTTAGAGTCGGTTCTGGGTCAGGAGATGATGTGATACTATCTCTGTAATCTGATTCTTCCATCAAGCAGTTCTAAAAAAGAAGAAAATTAATGCTGCGTTGTTGTTGTTGTTTCTTTTCTTTTTTTTAAGTATTAAAGATACCGTAACAGTCGTAGGAATGCCGGTTAGCTCAAATCTCGGGAAATCAACAGGATGCCATAAATGCCAAACAGACTGCCACAACATTCTGCATAGGGATAGGATAGACAATATGCCTGTAGAAAAGATGGTTTGTCGTTTTTTTAGGCGAGCGAAGGCAAGCGCGAAGCGAGCGAGGAGCGCAACGGGCAACGGGGGAAGGAATAAAAAAGCGAAAAAAAAAATAATAACGCCTGTTCTAAAGGCTAACCTGCGAGTTCGTTCGAGAAAAGTTGGGATGAGAGCAAAAAATAGAAGGAATGACGGGGGAGGGGGAGCGAAAAGAAGGAACCGCTTGCCCGCAAACCCCACGATTTTGAAAAACTGCGTTCGCCCACGAACGCAGCTTCTGATTGGTGCGGTGCTGGTAGTGTTGATTACTTAGCACTCGAAACATCAATCAAACCAGGTATGCGTTGTTTACGTGCGCCACAGATCTGGTCTTATCTGAATTGTGGTCGCAGATTACAATTGCTTTGGACTGATTTGAGTCGTGTTTGTGCGAAGGTTTATGAGATCAGTAAAGTATATTGGGAGATCGAGCAGTGGAGACTAAGGAAAGAGCTAAAGAACAGCCGCTCTGCAAAACTTATAGGATCTTATAGCCGGCGGAGTGAATTGTTCCGGACAAATCATTTTTGACGTTTCGACAAGGTTTCAGACGAGATAAAGCCACACTATAAAAAATAAGAAATTCCGCAGCAATCACTCAGAGTTTTAGCCTTCTTTTATCGTAAACCTTTTTTATTACAGTTTTAGCCTGCGTAGCAAGCGTTTCCTCGCGAGGTTCGTCTAGAAAGCTGGGACAAGACCAAAAAAAAATTAATGAAGGGGGAGGGGGAGTGGAACGAAGGAACCTTTTTTTTGCTTCCGCTCTAACTTTCGCGCAATAACTCGATTGGAAACGCTTGTTACGGAGGCTATTACAGTTTTGCAATCGCCTGGAACGTGTTCTATTAGTAATCTGGTAATCCAGGGGTAATCTGTTCGTTATACTTCTATTTTGACAAGCTGTCAATTTACAAATGAACCCAACCGTGGGGGCGTCAAGGGGCGTTTTCCAGAATTGAGGGGGCGGTTTGCGGGCAAGCGTTTCCTCTTCTCCCCTCCCCCTCCCCCTTCCACCTTTTTTTTTGCTCCCGCTCTAACTTTCGCGCAATAACTGGATTGGAAACGCTTGCTACGCAGGCTAACAACGACCAAAAGACTCATTTTTACAGCACCTGTAAAAAAGCAATGTCTCCGAGAAGCCCTTCCTTTTCTTCTACTAACAGCTGCCTGCAAAATTCAAGTAACAATATAAAGGTCTGTAACTTATCTTAATTTAACGATTTTAAAATTCAGGAAGTTATATATGCGATGGTCAAAATACATTAAATAAAGAGCTCGTTAAAGATTATACACAATAGTGGGATTTTTAATTTCTCCTTTTTTCGAGTGTTCAAGTTAGTGGTTTAAACGTACATTTACCACAGTGTAGACTATCATTCTTTGAATAAAATAAATAAATAAAATAAATAGATAACG